CAACCAGTTCATCCTTACTTCAGGCTAGCCCTTCGTCTTCAGAGTCTCATTTTAGGTCTCCATTAGCCCCTGTATGAAGCAGGAGCTCCCTGGTACTCACCTCACTGACATGCATTTTTAAAAGTGTGTCTCAGATGGGGCTGTCTGTCCCTGTGGCTTTTAACAAAGCAACAACTTCAGTTTGTTGGTTTTTTTCAGCATGTTGAAAAGATGCTCTGGAAAGGCAACCCTCCTTCCGACTAGCAAAAGCAGTTTAGGCTATTTGAATCCCATGAGCAACAGAGTGTGTCAGGGTGTGTGCTATAATCTCTGCCCTGGGTCATTAGAGGCTTCTGCATCACCACGTGCCTATTGCTGTGCTGGTGCTATGTACATCCTGCATCACAACAGCACAGTCCCAATTCGAATTGCTTAAACTCTTAAGTGTTGGGGTGTGCAACTGGGATGCAGGAAAACTTTTCTTGAATAACTTGTCAACAGGACATGTGACAAATGAAGTCACCAAGTGCAACCTAGTATGGTTGGAGTCTCATGTTTCCTCTGGATCTTGCCTAATACAGGGATTGCAAGGCAATGAGTAACCTTGCAAAGACACGCTTGCTGTTTGCTTGTGTCTCCCTTGCACCTTGCCATGCAGCAGTTGGACTCAACATGGCATGAGCTGATATGGTCCTTAGCGTGAACTTCCTGCAAGCTGGTAAGTGCCCCAAGAGTCTTATGCCTAAAGACTGCTCAGTGTATGGTGTTGGTTGTGTGTTCCAGTTGGCTTCCAAAAGGGCAGTCAGTAGTGCTGACACTGCCCTTGAAAAGTCGTTGTGAATAATAAGCATATTAACAAAGGTAAAATAAATATTATAGGTAAGGGGAACATGTGTCTGTCACCTGGGTAGGTGGTGGGCAGGAGATCATTCTTCTGGGGCAGACCTGATGATCCTGTGCTTGATCCAGAGACTGTGTGCATGGAGGGCCTCTTAGTGTGTTATTATGATAACTTGATGTGATTAGTTACTAGCATCCTCAAGCAGATTCAGGGTGGTGATGGTGGGGTAATCTGCCATGGTTTTTCATGGCACTATATTTGCGCTTTTTTTCCTTTGCGGCTTTCACGTGCTAATAATTTGTGGACGATAGTGTTAATCTTCAGCAAGAAGCTGCAGCTTTTCAACACAGAAGCATCTCTGAATCACTTTGCAAGGAAATGAATAGTAGTCCTGGTTCCCATGTTTCAGTGGCATGACACTTAAAATTTGGAGTACCTAACACCTTTTCCAAAATTAACCACAACTGGGATCAAGGTGCACCCCAATATATAAATAATATAGCAACAGTCTATGAGCAATCACAGGTGTGGCTTCCATTAATGATTCAGAAAAAATAATGAGCTCTGTGGATGAAAATAGGCATTTGGGCAGGGATTATGCAAGGTCTGAATTATGATGCAGGATGGGTGGGGATAACACCTCTTTCAGTTTACAAATGCTAATCACAAGCTCAGCAGCCAGAAATCTCTGCAGCACTATTTAACGAATATTAATAAGTATAATTAAACTTTGTGTGCTAGATTTTCAGGGCCAAAGAGCTATGTGAAATGCAAAATATGCTATATGTTTTTGGTTTTAAATGAAAATAAGATGCTTTAGAAGAAAGCTAACAGGAAATTAAAAGATTAAACTACTCTAAAAACAAAAGTTTACCCCAGGAACACTCAGTACACACAAAGAAAATGAATAGGCTACCTAACTACAGAGAGCATACAAGCAGATAAAATGAGGGTTTACCTCCATCTCCAATTTCCTTCTTGACATAATCTAGAGAGTATGTATTTAGCATACAGCTTGTAATAATATTAAAAGTGTTTATAAGGGCCACAGTCTGTAATCATGAGTTTGAAGGTTGGGAATTCTGCCATGACTGATCTGGCCATCACCTTAACCTTGAATTCCTGACAAGACTTGGGCTGAACACCATCAGCAATTACTCCCTACTGTAATAACTGCCCTTAGAAAATTGGTGTCTTTGTCCTGGAATAGAAGGATGCTTTCCTTTATCATGTCAAACTTAACACTTCACTCAGACTGTTTAAAAACTAAACCAAGGCTGCAGCTGGAGTAAATGCAGTCTTGGTGGGTGCTCTTCTGCAGTTTCAGAATGGTAGTAATTGTGCCTGTTGCAGTCTGGGAGTGAATGGAAAACTCCTAGTGACAGCGGCAACAATCAGTAATTTTAAATGACTGCAGATTTAATTATGTCGTCAATCTGCATGCTTCCGAATCAGGTTTAATTTCTGGTTTTTCTCTTACAATGCAAAAGAAGCTGATGATCAGCTACAGCTCTGTGTTACTTAGTGACTTTGTCTGTTTAAGAGCAAGTTAATATAGTGAAGTTAAGCTAACGGTTTTTTCAAGTCACCTGGTACTAACACAGCCTCTTCCTTTCAGGAAAAGGTATACTGAGGCAAACATCCTGTCCTTTAGTTACAGCTGGACTCTGCTTCTCTAGGTTGATTTGCTAGTCTGAAACTCATCAAGTGAGGGGTGTTTTGCCAACACCAGAGCAGCCAAGCAGCACTTACCAACCAGGGTGAATATGACAGATGCTTCTGCTGTCACTTGGTACTTAGAGTGTGCTTTTGCTTGTGCAGTTTTGAGCCTGAGGGAGAGGTCACCCACACCCTCCCCTCCCCCTTCTCACCCATTTTGCTGGCAGCCACATCTCATTGAGGTCTATTCATGATCCTCGGTTCACTGTGGGGCTGCCCTGGATCCAGCCCTCTGGAGTTCGCTGCAGTACAACCCCCTTTGCCTCAGCACAGCTGCTACCTCCTGGGACTCAGGAGCCCTCACCAGCATGGCTGGGTGGTTCCCAACAGGGCCGCTGAGAGCAGGTGAGCATATGGCCTGCTTCTTGAATAAGGAGGCTGTGAGAGACACTGCTTTTCCATAGATGCACATTTTTCTTCCCTACTTTAACACAAATTCCTCGACTCTCCAAATTTCAGTTTATCAAATTGTAACAACTTTGAAGTGTGATTATTCCAGTCAAATCTAGCTGGCAAGGGTCTTTGTCCTCAGAGGCAAAGCTGTCAGGCCTTGCCCAGGTGAGCCCAAACTCTGAATATTCAAACATGTGATCAGATTGTTGCAAAAGCATGTTGTGTCCTGACAAGTCTTATCATGTGCCAGGGGACAAGCAGAGAAATGTCTTCTGGCCAGAACTTGCAAAGCTTCCCCCACAGCTCTACAGCCTTAATTACTCACTTGGAAAACGAAATACAATTTTTGGGTCATGCAAACTTTGTTCCCCAATGCACAGGAATCTGGTGTCTTAAGAAGCAAGGCTTCTACCTGCCTTTGTCAGTGACCCCCTTAGTGTCACACAGAGAGAATCACTGAATTGTGGGCCAAGTCCTCAGTGAAACCTTATTATTATGGATTTTTAAAGATTAAATGGCCAAGTTACTTAAATAGTACAAGACTTGCCTATAAGTTACTTTCCTTTTACTCAAGAGGTATGTCAGCTCTGTAACCTGTTTGAATGTCCTGCTTATAGCCAAGCAGTTCAGTTACTATGTTCAATTTAGGTTCTGTTTTACTTCAGTTGCACTAAACGCAGTTTCTTGCTTAACTTCTGAAATGAGCCTTAACATCATGCTGTAATTCAGCTGACACAAAGCACATGGTAGGAAAACATCACTACAGTAAGAGGTTTTTTTTTTTTAATACTCAGGACTGAGTAGAAAATACCAACTCTCAGGAAAGGAGTATGCAATTCTTTTTTCTAGGAGAAAAAGTAATGGAGGTTAGGTTAAAAGTCTTCAATTCTTTTAGGAATTGCAGAAAAGCTTATGTAAGACCATTCAAAAGCACAAGTTTTATAATGGTTTTAAGCTTTTCAGCACTATAAATATAAAACCAGCTTGTACTCAGAAGCAGATCAAGTAAAAAACCTGCTGCTGCTACATTAGCAGTTTTTTAGGGAACCTTTACTGCTAACGGAAGTGAAAATATGTGCTAGCAGGCAGGGCTGGAGAAACTCTAACAAATACCCCATTTTGTACCAGGTATTTTGGCTAAAAGGAGTGGGTTCAAGTACCAGGAATGGAGTGGGACCCAGAGGCAAAAGCTAGGAGAGATTTACAGGGCAGCTGCTTGGGTTTAGACTGAGTTCTACCGAGTCTCTGCTGACTCTCACACTACAACAAAACAGGTGCAGCTGAGCAGTGTTGATCTGTTTGCTGTAGCAGTGATGGTGTAACTGAGAAGGTACGTTATTTCACAGTCCGAGGGTTGAAACTGCTCGTATTTAAGGGGAAGGTTACAAGTATAAATTTTACTTTTTCCACCTTAGAAAAATCTGGTTCTGGAAAGCAGAACTTTCAGTAGGCTGAGTATTCCAATTGACAGCCTTGCACAGGATTAGGTAGTTTATGTTTTGAAGGCCAATCTGCATGTTCTTAGCAGTGTTGCAGCACAGCAGTAAGTGTTTAAGCGCCTTTATAATTGAAGCTTAGTAATCTTCCCATCTGTAAAAGCTAAGTGATTAGCCATTACTGAAAAACTGCATCTGACATTTTTCCCATACAGTATAATTCCAAGGATGGTAACCTGCTTTATACTGAAATAAGCCCACTGTGACAGAACTGTTCAGACTGCTAGATCAAGGCAAGTATTTACCTACATACATAGCTTGAAGATCAAAGTTGTGTGATGCTTCTTATCTTCAGTAACCTTATCCATGGCTTGCATACTACAGTGAAATACACTTGTTTTGTGGTAAGTATTCACAATTTCTCTCCCCTTTAACCATGCTATCTATACTCAAAGTTTTTTCATCCTCAGAATATAAGTAGTTCACTTTCAGTGACCCTTAATGTACAATTTAGTTATTTTTTTTACCAGGTGAGAAATTGAAGAGAGGAACACTCCTTGCCTCTCTTTTCTGTATGATGGTGGCTAACATGCTATGGGTGACTAGAAAAAAACCAAAGTCATTCATGTTAGGCCAGATAACTTAATCTCACAGAATGTTTTATTGCCAGCACAAAACTATAGACAACATGCTACCAGGTAGTAACGAGGCATTAAAATTAACAGTGTCCAATGTGAGTTATTGAACACTTCTGCAGCAATCTTAATTCTAATTAAATGCAAGGTGAATTCAACATTAGTTGTATATTTAACATTATTGACTTTGAACTTTGCAGTAAATGCAGAACTCAAATGCACAATTGCATACACTATTCAATAAAGCAAAATCCAAAATGTATCATAAATAAGTATTTTATAACTTTATTAAACTCAAGACATGACAATATTCAAAATACAAAGTGAATTATTTTTTATTCAATACTGTACATGATGCAGAAATATCAGTGCATTTCTATAGCATGTATTTCACCTTCATTTAGTTTGTACTAAAACAAATAAAAAGTAAGCTTTAAAATAGCTCAAACATCTCATTCAGCAGTTTAAACTGTAAACAGCTTGTTTACTTCTGTTAGGAGGAACACATTCATCTTCTGTACCCCCATTAATGAGCACCCTTTCTCTTGTGCTTTTCTGTAAGAGGATAAATGTAACCAAAATGAGCATGAGAAACTGCTAATGTGGCACCTCAGTGAACTTCAGTGGATGGCTGAGGCACAGTGAAGAAAAATTAAACAGCAAGAAGCAGCATCAAAGCAGCAAGAGACGGGACTGACACTGTTCATAAATGGAATCATGTTTTTCCCTCATACCCTCCTCCTCCTCCCCTAAAATACTGAACAGAAACCAAAACACAAGACCAGCTTGTGCTGTGTTTCTGTATTTAATACAGTCAGAATTTCAGACTCTAGGTGAGCACACAGTTGTTACTGCCTACCTGACAGCAACCGTGTGGCTGCTCAGGACACTCTCACACGTATCTAGGATCCAGCAGGAAAAGAGCAGCAGCAGAGGCTTAGCAATAGCTGGTCCAAGTCTCTTCTAGGAAAAACTGCAAAACTGAGCCAAGTGTGTCTAGCAAGTGAATCCACAAAACCAACTCACTTTAAAAGTCTATTAGCATCATATTAATTTGTAAAATAGATTAAACTTTCAAAATGTGCTTCCAATATGCCTGCCAAGTCTTGAACTGGGTATCAAATCTTGCAGTTACCTTCTTACCAGACTGACATAGCCTAGTCAAAGAGAACAGAGTCTGTTCTCAGTACGGTTACTGTATAAAAGAAATTTTGGAAAATACCCAATACAAAAACTGTACTGCATTACTTGGTCTGTTGCCTGCTTTATAAGTGACTCATCAGCAAAGCTCGATTTTAATTTTTTTTTTTGATAATGTGACTACCAAATACGTTCATCTAGGTAGCATACAACTGGCCAGCTGTGACTACTATCCCTCCATGTTTCTTTGTATGGGAACTTTGTAGGTTTTCAGCTTACATACCTAGACAAACAAAAAGAGTCTTAAGAAACGTATCGAATATATGCAGCATAAGAGGACTTTACGATCCACTTTCCAGTTCTCAGAGGTCAAACTGCTCCTACTTCATTATCTGAGAACCATAAGAACTCTGTAACATGATAAAGTTCAGCTCCATCCTGAACAACTGAGCTGGGACTGACTGTGCTCCCAGAAACTACGGGGAAACCACATAAGACAGGTGTTTTCGTTTCAGGTGACCACCTATGTCCATTCTGGGTTTTGAGTCCAGTTTTGTCGGAGCTGAGGTGGCTGTGCAGTCACCAGACCAGGACTGAACCTCAGTGTTAGAGCTCCTTTCTTCTGCTTCTCTGAAGAATTTCTCATACTTGTCCAAATATGGAGGCCTTTCAGGTAGCAGATAGTAGTGTGTTGAACTGGCCTTCTTACCATTTTCAATAATTGGAAGAATGCAAGGGACCCTGTTTGAAGATCCTTCACTATTTTGTCTTTGTAGAGCTTTGCTGCTGACATACTTAGGATCAGGTGCAAAACTCTGGGTGGGGGGCATAACCCCATTGAGGTATGATGGGAGGCTTTTGGGACTCGGGGTACGGGAATTGCTGTGTGACAGAGGTTCTCTTGGGGGTACTTTTGGAGGCCTGTCTTCATCGCTGTACGCGCTAGAAGCAACTTCTGCTGACCACCTTCTGTAGTCTGGTTTGAGTGCCCTTGGAGGTATGGGAACCCTTGGTGGAATCTCTGGTTTATCTTCATCAGAGGTTGGAGAAGACCTGTTTAAGTGTCCAGATAGTCTTACTATTGGTTTATTAAGAGATCCAGCTGGCCCAGAATGGGACCTTCGCAAGCGTCGATGCAGCTGCTGTGGAGGAGGGTAAATACTGGATATGTATACATTTAGGCTTTGTGTAGGGTTGGAATCTTCTGGTTTTGGTCCTGTTGGAGTATCAAAGTATGCATAGTTGATCTGTCCACAGCCCCTAAAGCTCCGCCGACTTGGAGCACTGGCTTTAAAGGGAGGAAGTTCATAATCTTCTAACAAAAAGTCAGTATCTGAGCTAGTCAGGAATTCCACTTCTTTGTCAACCTCATCTGAAGTAAAGTCTTCAGAAATAGGTAGAGGGGGCAGAGGCCTGGAGCTCCGATCATTGGAAGATGCAGACAGAAATTGAATTGGTCCATTTTTTACTGCCATGTGAGGAGGTGTTTCTTCAGAAACACAGCTCATGGTTAATGACAGTTTACTAAAGCCAGGAACGAGATGGTCTTCATATCTTGAAACTGTCGGTTCACTTTTGGGACTTACAAGAAGTGGACTGGATTTCTGAGATGGGACTTGGATGCAACTTTCAGCAATGTGGTCATTCATGGAAGCCTGGTTGGAAGAGTGCCCTAAAAAGGTGAAAAATTCTTAGAGACACTTTTCTAAGTAACACTCTAGCACATGACTTTACCACTGCATATTTAATTCCTTCTAACACAACAGTAAGTAGTGTCTGTTTAATAACTGCAGTAGTGAAATGTAGGTATTACAGATCTCTTCTGGTCATGGATTTATGCTTTAGTTAAGATAGCAGCAGATTACTTTATTGTTTCAGGCCAGTGCTCCTTAAATGAGGTAGTTCAAGAGACCCCATGCATAAGCAAGAGAGAGCTACAGCTACAAAGATCTCAGCATAGGTCTACAACAGAACAAGTACTATTTTAGTAAATGGTTTTTCTGTCAGAAGGGTAATGGCAACTCGAAGGCATCATAAGTACAAGGAAAAGGTCTGTCGGAGTGTTTTTGTTTGTTTGAACTTCATCATGTTATTTAAAAGTGGGTTTTTTGGTTGGACTTGAATAGGAGCGTTTTCTTGAAATGCTCCGTTCTGGCACCGGGGGGCGCCCGTCGCAGCCAGGGACGGGTCTGCGTCGGGCCCGGAGGGGTTTCCAGACAATCCACTGCACTTTTAAACACTCGTCTGTCAGTCTTTTATACTCACCAATGGATGGCAAATGCTGCTCTGTCGATGGACCTAAATTATATGCCACTGCTATAGGGTCCACATTAAAGAAAGTACTAAAAAAAAAAAAAAAGAAAAAAGCCTTCACTGTAAACAAACCATAGGTCTGTCACCAAATACAAGTATTCATCATACTCATTTTATATACTTGAAGATGCAACAGATTAAAATTTTAGCCTCACTCACTTTTCAAATCCACTGTGGCTACCCCAGCAGGTTTTCAAACTCCCCATGCCTTGACTAGTGTGAAGAAATCCGGTTTTTAATGGGACTCTCATCTCCTGAGCAGCAACTCCTGCAGTTGACATTGTGCAGCGTTCTCTGGTGACGTCTCACGACTTTAGATATTCAGTACTTGACAGGTTTCCTGCGGTTTTCATTCCCTTCAACAGAGAAGACATAAATATCAGAAATGCAAATCTGATGATTTCATCTCTCATCTGAAATTTCAGTATTCAAATAATTAAACAGCTCGATAGAAAGGCCTTCTGTCCTACTTGCCAATAGAAAAACCTGACCAAACTTCTTGCTTTGAGTCTGTCTGTAAAACTGAAGTAAAAGAAGGTAAGTTCTCTTAGAGAATTACACTGTAAAGAAAAAAACCCACGTTCAGTAAAGCTATTGATATATAGTAACTGTGCATCAACAACACTTCAGTTCTTGTACATAAACTACTAGTTATTAATACAAAAAAGGCTTTTAAAAAGTTTTCTAGAACAATCTATTTAACTTTCTAATTGCTGTCTATCTTTAGTTTTATCTTTTTGCTAAAGAGTTTATAGTTTCCAGTGTAGCCAACAAATAACAGCCTAGTCTGTTGTTAAGTATTACCTTCCATAGCCTTTGCTCCAATAAGCAGAATTACTGACTACTTGAACTGGAATTCTAAGACTTCTTTTATATAAAGCAGTAAGCATTAAGATACTTTAAAACAGCCTCAAGTCTTCTAGCTATTTCAAACAAATCGGAAATCTGGTGATTTGAAATAATCGCCACTGAAACCATACTGCTGCATTCAGATCTATTTTGAATGTGTGAACAATGCTTTATCTGTCCCTTTTACAACAGAAAAAATGTGTTGGCAATTACTATATATTGAGTAAGTAATCAGAGTCTAAGGAACAAACTGACTCACTTGGCTTTGCTTAGGAAATTCAGAAAGGATTATTGGGAAGGGGAAGGGGCAGTGTAAAATTAGTCAGCATCATGAAGGCAGGAAAAATTAAATCCAAAACTATAAGCCAAGATGTCCTATGGGTCTGTGCTTCATCTACACAAATAGCCTGATTTCAGCAAGTACAATATGGTGCTATATGGCTGTTTAAAAAACACATACACACACACACAAACCCTACCAAACCAAACCCCACCGAAACCAGTTTAATTTGTATCTCCCTTGAAAATCAATAATATGACCATATAATACTAATGTGAACTTCTCCACACCCCTCCTCCAAAAGAATTCCACCAACAGCTGAGGGCCAGCTCCATCAGTGATACCTGCATACTGGCATACCTGTCAAGAAAAACCCTCACAGTATGGTATTGCAGTGGGTACAGAAACAGCTAATAGCTTATGCTTATGGTAAATCTGTTCTAAACCAGGCTTTCTATGCAGATGTGTAACCTTCCTTTTCTTTTAGGAGGAAAGATCCATCATACCTACTTGCAGCATGAGGGATGGGCAGACTCGTAAACAGGACTATAACCAGGTGCCCTGGGATTAGTTTGCAGTCCAACACCACTGGACCATTTATAAACAACTGTTTGAGAAAGACCAACTTTGCTGTGCTTTTCCAAATTTGAATTGGGTTTAGTATTGATCATCTTAAGAAAAGAGTATATGCAAAATAGCTTCTGACTGTATGTATGTTTATGATGTGCGAGACCCAATCACATTCTCTTTAAGAGTCTGATGGTTTTCTTGATCACGACTTTCAGTGATCACCATTGTGTCAACAGAAGTGGGATTTTTTAATTCACTGCCAGATACCCCGTATATTTTAGTCAGGCATTTCAGAATAACTCTAGACAGGAGGCTTTCATAGAAGTGAATAGGGGATGAACCAGTGCTCTATCTGCTGCAGCAGAGTCCTACCTCATTCAGCCCTCCTGATTTTAGTGAAGACCATGTTCTTCTTTTCAGACAACCTCCTTAAAAAGCTAGTTTAACACTGGAAATTTTTGTATAACGCAGTTAAGTTGGACCCTTCCCAGTAATAGGAATTGCAGATTTTCATCATGAAACTAAATATAAACATACAGCCCCAGGAAGCAATAACATAGTTCTGTAAGTACAAGCAGAACCATTGTTTATGGGGGAGCAGAACACTAGAGGTACCCATTTGTTTAAATTACTTAAGCAGCATAATACACATATAGCACCAATTCTAAAATTACTTCTTAACATATTAATGTAATTTGCAAATAAAACATCCATCTTATCAGCTCACACTGTATTGAGCAATGATTTTTTATGCCTCAGATCCTATCCCATAGCAACAAATCTGCAAAAGAAATGAAGGAGAATGAATAAGTGAGCTTAAGGTTAATGTCTACTGTCTATTTCAGTATTTCTGAAGTCAAATGCAAGTTACAAGTAAAAAAAAAATCACTGGTACAAAACACTGATCAGGGAGCAAATGATAGTACTCCACTTCAGCACATGTGCAAGATCTGACAAGATCACGAGCAAGACATTGATTAAAATATAAAAAATCAGACGGGGGGAACAACTGCTGTAGTTTGAGAGCACGTGTAGTGTGCTGTGTTAACATACAACCCTTGCAAGGCTTATTAAGAACCCCAACCTCCACCAGCTCTCATGCCAAAACCACTGCAGGTAATTACTGTGTCAGCTTCCCAAATGCTGTATAAATCTCAGCTCTCAAGACTGATGGTTGCACAATCACCTCTCTGATATCCCTCTGGAATGCTAAGGTTAACATCTAAAATGACTTATATATTTACATACTCTAGGAAAAGGTAATTTTCACTTGTTTCAATCAGTCTTTATTTTTTAAACATACAGACAATTTTTGCAGTCATAAAACTTGCTTCATTCTAAAAATAACCTCTTTGCGAATTCACAGAAGGTGATCTGCCTTGACATTTCAGAGTTATGAAACTATCCCGAGTGCCTTAAGCTAGGACTATCAAGAGTGGTAATACTCTTTCAATAAACCACCTAGTTACTTTCTCAGTGGAGTCTAAGAGAGTTGTTGCTTATATTTTAAAACATGCATAAGCTTGTTTGAAGACATAGTATCTTAGGAGGGAGACATGTAACATGTAACTGAGGAGTACAAACTCTGTATTTTAGACAGCACACTCTTACTAAAGCCGAATAGTACGTATTATATTCTAGTAATTGGCTTTAAAAACCAGTAAAATTTACAAAAGTCAGTCATGAAGATATAAATATCAACAATTCTCAGTGTAACTGCTGTCCCAATCCTGCCTCCTTAAAAATTTAAGGATCTGAACTTAACCATAAATAACATCAAACTGTATTTGCTAAAGAAAATGGACACTATGCAGTAATGAAGCATTCTTGATCTCGTGTGCTGCTCATTTGCACAGAATGGGTTTCCTGTTACTCTGCTTGTCTGGCCTAGTTATGCATTGATTATGGCACTTAGGAAGACTGAAGCACTTTTGAAGAAATGGAGTTCACACTGAAACTGTAGCTAGTAATTTCTACAGGGCAGATACAAGCCAAGGCAATTCAAAGATTTGTTGATGCATTAGGAAGCTACCAACACCACTCATTGTAAGGCAACAGCACAAAGGAGACACTTTTTAATTGTTCAGGTCTGTTTGCATTAACAAATATGAATAATACTAAATATTGGAGATTAATTTTTTTTACAAGGCCAAATGTACTTTCAAACTTGAACTAGTGAGTGATGAATAACCGGATAGCTGTGTGCAAGCTGAAAATGGTCAAATGTATCCATAAACAGTAGGGTATGTACATAATGATATCTACAATGTATATGGGAATATGTGGAAAAATTTTTGTGGTGAGTTACAGAAAACATCACGAATATGCAGTTTTCATACAGATACATATCAATAAACACTTGCATTACAACAGCACTAATCCTCTACTTAGAAACTAAGAAGCATTTGCATATATTTTAGCTCTATCACTGATCACACACAGAATCTTATTACTCTGTTCCCTGCTCTCCCAGTCCCAATGCAGCCAAATATTTGAGGCAAGTCAAGTTCATAATGAAGAAAACCTTCCCGGTACGCACAGTAGACCAAAGCACACTCTAAAATGTTTCACTAAATGGGGATGGAATACAGCAATTTGCTGTACAGATTTCTGAATGCCTGTACAAATTTTGGACAGATTTTATAAAGGCAACACTCTTGAAAAGAAGCTGAGATACGTCTTGTAAGAAATGGGAAAGAGGGAAGGGAAAAAAAAGTAAGACTTACTTACCCCTTCTGGGAGGGGAAGAAATGTGTCTACCTTAAATCCACAACCTATTTTTGCTCACCTTGCCACCACATTATCTTTAACAAATCTCAGAAGCAATTCACAGGAGGAGGGGCACATTTTTGCACTACAAGTCATCCACTCCAGCTAGCTGTTCCTTATTTGACAAGGTGATGTAATTTCCTTTTTCTCCTTTGACTTTCTATTTAACATAAGTACCTGAGATAGAGGCATCCCTTTTAATATTTAAGCATTTCAGACTTCCAATTGGACTTTAAAAGCTTAAGAGCTGTTAATATACTTTCTGGAACTCCATATACTTAAAAAAAAAACAAACTAATTTCTGGTTCTCTAGTTCTCATATCATCCCTTAAGTACTTCTGTCTGTGCAACTAGATGAATGCTGAGTAACTGACACCTAGCAGAAACAGCCTCATGAGAAGGTTAGTTTAAACCTACCAATAAATAATTAGATCTTATTTACTATGCATCAAACCTCCATAGTGCAGGTCAGTATTCCTGAGTCACAGGCCAAATCATGCCCTGATATGGGCCTCAGAAGATTTTTCCATTTATAGGAATTATATTCTTTACAGTTATTATATAAATGAATTGCATTCTTAACTTCCAGATACTTTTCTACACATTCTGCCAGCCAGAAATAGACCACTCTTTTGCAAAGAATTTAAGACTATGATCACTTAGTAACTGCTCAAATCATAGGTGACTGCAAATAAAACTAATTCTACGGGTATACTCCAGACAAATCGACTGAACAGCAGACAAATGATGTATTTAGATTGTAAGTCAGCTAGTTTGAAATACATTCAAAGAACCACAGTTCATCAAGGAGTTTAAGTTCACTTAAAATTTGGGCTACCATTTCACAGTCCTGCACAGCAAATGGGAGGAACCTGTAAATCGCCAGTAGAAAACTAATAATTAAATAGCAAGACAATTGCCTTGCCTCTGTTTGTCAGATTTCAGATGCATGCTTAAGGTATGGTACTTCACCCTCCTGAAAATTTTAATGTGAATACAGACAGCTTACATTCAGGAAATAAAAATTCCTTTATAGCTGACTCAGAGTCATAACCATAGTGTTAGACACAGTGTGATAACTTTTAATTCTGTTTTCCACTGCAGAGAAGTGGAACTGTTTTCCTCTGAAATAATTCTTATACTGCAGAGGATGACAAAGGGCTTCACCAAGGACATATTCCCCCTCTCAAAAGATAGGTTTCTATTTTAAAAAGGAAAACAGAAAATTATCCCACACAGGTAAAGAAAACTAGGTCTGTGCATAAAGTAATAAAGGTAAATTGAGCAGTTTAACTAGATTATAAATGCAATTCACAAATGCATTTCACCTGTCATTCCAGTATAACAAACATTCAAGTATTCCCAAAATGACCACAGATCTTGCCCCCAGAGCCTTTTCTATCCAGTTTATTAATATGTAATGAGATACTGTTATCTTTAGATCAAGTATAATAACCTTTTTCTTATTACTTCAGAATACTGCACAGGCCCCTTAGTCTGTGCACTAGTGACAGGAGAGCACTGAAGTCTCCAGAGCCCCCCGGCCTGCTCGCTCTGCGTGTCACAGGCTCGAGAGACGCACGGTCAGTGCTGGAAGGGTACAGCGATGTCTCCAGATTTACCATTACAGACTGGTTATTTTAGAAAATCGAGGATAACTGTGTAATGGGGTAGTAAGTCACAAAGAAATGTTTATTCTAAATTAAGCCATCCTAAATTAGAGTGCGAAGCACAGAGTTCAAGCCCAGAATGCGGTCCCCTGTTACTCCCAGGAGCGAGACGAGCACTGATACTGTTTCGGGTCAGGAAGAAAACGCGTGGCACGCCACGCTGATTTCCAAGAATGTGGTTACGGGCTTCGCTGACCCCGGGCGGGTCCCATCCCCTCTAGAGGGACTCCTGCCGCGGTAGCGCGCCCAATCCCACCGCGGAGAGCACCGCGGCGGTCACATCCGACATCCCCCCCGGCAGACCCCGGTGGGTGAACGACTCCGCGGCGGGTCTGGCCCCGGTGGCCCCCCCAACCCCACCCCGGCAGCACAAGGGCACCAAACGCGCTCCCGCTCCTCCCGCGCGCGGCCCGGGCCGGGGCCGGGGCCGCCGCCACCCACCGGGCCCGCCGGGGTGGGGCCCGGCCAACTTCGGCGCCGCGACCCGCCCGACCCGCGTGTGCCGCCGGTGGCCGCCCAACCCACCAGGCACGGCCCTCGCTCCTCTCGCCAGCGGCGGGGCCCGGCGCGGCACGGAAGGGGCGACCCCGAGCCGCGGCCAAGCGGCCCCGGTGCGCGGGCACGGGGCCGGGGGGCGCCGCCGCCATGTGACCGCGGGGCGCGGGCGGTGCCGCCGGGGCCGTCACTCACCCCGACAGTGTCGCGCAGCTCCGCGCGGCCGCCAGCGCCACACGCATGCGCCGCGACTGCGCCCGGTCACTGCCGCGGCGCGCGCCGGCCACCGCCCTTATAGCGGGGGGCGGAGCCACCGGTGACCCCGCCCGACGCCCGTCGCTTTTGTCAGGAAAAGCCTTAAAGGGGCCGCGGCCGCGCGATGGCGGCGTTGAGGTGTGTTGTGTAGCCCTGCTGGGAGCGGGGGCTGTAGCGGCAGTCTTGGCCCCGGCAGCGCTGCTCCGGCCGCCTACGGGCTCAGCGAGAGCAATGTTCGCTAGGCGGGCTCCGCGTGGGGCTGGAGAACCGCTGGGGACCGCGGCGAGCCCAGAAGCTCGCGCTCGGTCCCGCAGAGCGGCGAGTGGCGGGGCGGCAGCGCCCGCCCAGCAGAGGCTGCTGTGGCAGCGCTGTCCCTGCGGCGGCTGTTCCACCGAGCAAGCGGAATCCTTCCTGCCCTGGCCGTCTGCTTGGCTTTCCCTGGTCGATTTTTCAGGGGAACTGCCCGCCGCCTCCGTGTCTCACTGGGTCCCCGTGTCCTCGGGGATGGCGGCAGTTACTAGTTCCGTTGCGACCCTGGCCTGCCCGGGTCCCGTTCCCAGCGCAGGTGTCAGGGCAGCTCACGCCCGCTCGTCTGCGGCTCCGCGGGAAGCCTCGCGAGCACTTCCGCGGGAAATGCCCCGCGCGGGCAGCAGGGGGCGCTCGCCGGCCCGACCCGGCCAGCACGGGCGGTCCCGGGGCGCGCGGCCCGGACCGTGAGGGAGGCGCGGCTGAGGAAAGGAAGGAGGAGAGCAGACAAGTGCAGGTTTGTGGTTTCGATGAACTGGGGCACACTGTTAACTAATGGTGAGACTTCACTGTGGTTTTTATTCTGGGCACATGCTGGTGACGGTGGCTTGCGCTGAACTGTACCTGCTCAAAGACTTCTTCCAAGTACTTTGCTATACTTCTGTTGATCTGGACTCGAAGACTGCGACTTATTGTTTCTGTGGATAACCTGTGTATGCTTATCTTAAGTTTAAATTGTCCCGTTTGTATATATGTGTTTAGGAGAAAGTAGTCCTTTTTTCTTTTTTTTCTTTTAATTCTGGTCTGTTGATGTACATCCACACCGATAGTGCAAATATCCCTGGATGTTATAATGAATGGATATAAAGGACAAAGTTGTCTTAAAAATGTCTTACACAGACTGTTGGCTTCAGTAGGACGAACTCCTGCAGTGCCTCCATGGTGGAACATGAGGAATAATAGATGTTTGGCTTTTTTAGTTATTTATGCCTGAGAATTTTTGATCCAGGAAGAGGTCTTTCTGACATTCCCTGCAGATGTTACCCAGTGGTCCCTGTACTTCTATCAGCAGTCCAGGTTTTATTCCGTTAGATAATTTAGGAGTTAGTTCATGTGCATGTAATGGTACGGAATTTTTCTCTCTTACTGTTAAATAGCTTTACCTATGGCCTTTTTTCACTAAAACCCCACTGCCTTAAGTTTCTCATTGTTCTACTGATGAAAATGTTTGGTAATGGTGTCACAATAGTTTCTGTTCTGAGTGGAGGACAGAGGAAATTGAATTCTGCACCGACAGTTACATTCCCGTTTCTCACCTTTCTTTGCAACCACCTCACAGTTCCGTAGGCATGTGTAAACCACTTTTTGCAATTTGCTAAGTGTCCCAAAGACTAACTTCTAAGTAATCTTGGACACTCTGATTGGTTAATACTAGTTAATAACAAGTTTGCTAAAAAAAGCCAGCTCAGGTAGTATTAAAAGATGCTTTAAACTTCTATTGTACCCAGTTCTGGAGATGGATAGCAGACTGGTCTGTATTTAATAAATGAAATGTCTGAATTCTATGAAAAAAAGAATAGCATGGACTTTCATTCATGATACTACCTTTCATTCAAGGATTCTCTTTGCAGAGGGGAATCCTAGAGATACTGGATGTCCTTTGATTAAAGTTGTCCTATTTCTAGCTTGCTTTGCAGCCTATACCTTTTCACTGATCTCAGTCCCCTTGATGCTTCCTGTTTTCAACACTTAAATTTTTCAGTTGCCGCTTCTGTTTGTTTTGAGAGAAGAAAAGCATACGTGTAAGCAGCAGCTGGAGAAGAAAAGGGCAAAGTCTCTTTAGGAAGATAGAAAATTACAAAAGTAAAATTTCATACTGAAAGACTAAATGGAAAACAATAGATATTTATTTTTAATATAAAATGTCAGCTAGAGTTCCTGTACAGTCATTCTTTAGATCGTTGTCTTTTTTTTTTTTTAAGCCCACTTCCATAAACAACAACTTTTTTTACTGTAGGTGCTGCTGTATTATTGCTTAATTGTACTTATTTCTGGTAGATGTTCTTGAGCAGGAAGCTTGGGGGTTTTTTTTCCATGCTTTCTGGTAAGCACATAAGGGGCCTCAGTCCCAGCCCAGGTGGTGTGAGAGTGACTGCCTGAGTGGCTCCTGGATGGTCAGACGGGGAAGTTTCCTTAACATACTCTATAAATAAACAATTTTATCAAAAGATCAAGCTATAGCATTTTACCTTTAATAGCTAAAAATGATAGAACAAGCCACAGCAAATGGCACAAAGAAACAAGGAGCTGACTGCTACCATTCTTTCCAGTCCTGGTGAAGCCTACCATCCAAATATGACTGCAAAAGACTGCTGACTTCTAAGCTTACCAATACAAATACACAACAGCTATAGATACGGACAATATTTAGTTATTTTTCAGGAGTTCCTCTTTGGTCCTGACAAACAAGATTTGGCCACAACAATCCACGAATCTCATCTTGGCAGTGCAACACGGTGTGCCTGGAGATTGACTCAGTGGGCGTAGGGCCACAGTGGTCTGTGCTGCAGTACATCAGATCACCCAGGACTGGCTCCTTCCACAGTCAGCCTGTCTGATCTAATTTAATTACCTTACCTTGGTGCCTTTGCTAAGTAATTAATAAACTTTACCTTGTGCAAGGACCAGTTCAGAAGCCCTTATGAGGTAGGGTATAACAGCTCAAGTGGAGCACTGTGCTATACTATTCACATGGCCTCTAATTGTTTTGAAGAGACACCTCAACCTGCAAAACACTGTGTGAATGCATCCAATAGTTGGCAGGCCACTTAGCTTTGTCATAAAGACAACATTTATCTATATAGTGAGATGAGCACAACAGAAAAATAACACTGAAAAAGAAAAAAACGTGGTAGACAAAGGTGAGTCTGTTCTTGTGAAGGATGAAGAGGGACTTCAGCAATGCTGCAGACCCTAATGCTGCACATAGGTAGATTCCAAGAAATTCTCCCAAACTGTCATTATGCTCAACATAATGTGTTGTGTGAGATACTGTGCCTAAAGGGCATAAAAGCACAGCTGAGCCAGTCAGCTGATAGCAAGCCCTCTGGCTCTGTAAGAAAGGAGATGGGATGCAACAGGGTAGACTGGGATTTGAGTCAACTCCTCTGCTGATGTGCCCAGCATCCTGTTCCAGTGGAACACCTCTCGACACTGCCCTAAAAGCATACAGTCTAACGGACTGAGCTCTGGGTATTTCACCACTAAAGCTTGGCTTCCTGATGACCAGTTTACATGCACAGTTCACATGCCTGAGAGCAAGAATGAACTCAGTTTGGGAGGACCGCATTACAATGTCTCTACAGCAGCAGGACGGATGTAACATTTCTGCAAGGCATTCAGATATTACAGAATGGATGGTAAAAACCAGATGTGACTGTGGCCATTTCTGGGAAACAAAAGTGTGAACAACCAGCTATTTTTAATTTATCGAGTTCCATTCCAGTCTAAGCTGCTACAGACTGTGTCGATATTTGTGTCCTTTTTTGATCTCTTCCCTCACTCAGCTTATGCTTATGTGCTGAAAAAATCTGAGCACATGATTACCCCATCCAGGCAACATGCCTTTGAAATGGCTTTTTAATCTAGACTCTCCACTCCCTGACAGACTGAATTTTGCAGTATGTCTGTATTCGCTGTCTAGACACTTGAATATGCTAACCTCTAATTTAGCTCTCCTTTACTGACCCATGAATTTCCTCCCTGCTGTGGGTCTTCTGGCTAAACTGGAAATGCAACACACTCATTCTGCCCTATACCTGGCTGGTGCAACTGCATTCATACAAATCTGACCAGTGAAGTATGTACATGTTCCTCATTTACAGAAATGAGGAATCCTTACACTAAAAGTTTTGTAGCACTCTCCTAACCCTGGTCCCTTCTTTGCAGTCTCCAAACTCAAAGACCAGCATAGTCCTTTCCTGAAAGGGATACATCTGCAGAGACAAGGACATGATCTTGTAAGCAGAAATAAAGAATTTCGTACCCAGTTATGCAGACAGAAAACAATGGAAGAGTCTGACTGAAATATGAAAGGGAATGCAACATACAGATGTATTCCAAAAGCAGCCATACTGCCTCAAATCCCAAGGTCCACCTAACCCAATATTGCCCTAGTATGGGGAAAAAACGGAGATAAATGTTTAGAGCAGTGGGCAACATCCTCTCACAATTCCCGGAAGTCTGATGCAAGGCACTTTCTCTATAGCCTTGTGGATTTTTCTCTGTGACTAGTTTTTGAATAAATGGCATTTGCAGCATTCAGACAGAGATGTAATCAATGTACACAGACTAGAACTCACAAAAGCCATACTGTATATCCACTTTTAGATAGTATGTTTGCGTCACAAACCACTTCCATATGCCTGAAGCATAAAAGATTTGCTATCTGTGTCAGTTTCTAGAGATGGCTTAAGAGGCAAATTAGCATTATCCAATTGCTTTAAAGTCTTGTAGAGGGACAGTTCACACAAAGACTGAGTAATGGCTCCTGTTCCAAGCTGAAATGCAGTATCAGGTCTGTACAGTTGTATAATACCTTAGCATTGTATGTAACCCTTGTAATGCAGGATTCTGCACTGCTAATTTCAGAATATCCTTAAACTCGTTGTCTCTCCCCCCTCCCTGCACACCTATGCTTCTCTATCCCACAGCAAGTACCACAGTATACCATACAGCATGCCCCATACAGTAAGAACCGAAGTATAAAGTTTGAAAGCTTGTAATTTAGACA